TTTGTGTTGAAATATCAGGAGGTCACATGCTGCTTGACACACACACACACACACACACACACACACACACACACACACACACACACACACACACACGTGTGCGCACATGAAGCCGACAACTAGAGGAGAAAAACATTTTGGGCATGTTGTGGACATGCAAGATGTCTGAAGACATCCCAAAAAAGTATTCCGTCAGTTCAATTGAATCCATTTTGAGCGCTCTCGCTCTCTCAAATCAAATCATGCTATCCGTTAGCATGTTCCTGGAGCACATGTTGGCATTAGCATTAACGTAGAGGACCAAAGGCCATGCGCTTGTTGTAAATGCACAAGGTGCCATTGTCTTTCTTTTGGGTTTCAAATTGTTGTTCTCTTTTGGAACAACGATTTGAGCCCCCCCCGCCATACGGTGCTCCAATCTATCCAAGTTTGCACCTGCTCGGTTAAAGCGATAAAATAGGCCGACTAGTATTTTGTCTCGAGAAAAGCTCCTAAGTCGATTGACTCCTATCTCAAGGCGCACAAGACGGTCGATTCATCCAATTTGACTTTTTGTTTTTGGCAACGTTTGAATCGGATTCATTGTGACGATTCAATGAAGGAAAATGAAATTGTTGTTTCAGCTTCTTCAGGCAGAGTTGGTGTTTGGCCATCTTTCACGACCGATTCTCCGACTTTGAGGAGGAGCTTCTCCAGGGCGACGCCGAGGTTCGTCACGCTCAAACTTTGACCATCAAGCAAAGCCTCGCCAACACCCGCGCCGACCGGCCTGATTGCCCCGCAGGTTGACTGCGAGGAGCTTCAGGGCGCCGCCCCTCGGGACTTGATGAAGAACCCCAGCAGCAGAGCGCCGCTGAGGATCAACGCCGCCAAATATTTGTCCTTCAACCGCAACCTGCTGCCCATGTTCACTTGCCCCGATGACTTGTGACATCATCGCAGGTGACTTCTTCTTCGTCATTGTCATCATCATTACATTTGGCCGCAGGTGGCGACGGTAGGCACATCCTACATTGAAGTCGAACCGCAGACACTCTCCATCAGGAGTGGCGAAGCTCATTCAAGCTCAGGGGCCACATTTGCTCCAATTTGTTCTCAAGTGACCTGGACCGGTGGATTTGTGGCTTCGGGACCGAGAAATAACTTTCTCTTTTCCCCCCGACTTTGGCACAAGTAAAGGCTGAAGAAATTCACACTTATTCTTATCTTGGAACAAATCATATGTGCAATCTGACATTTCTTCCTCAAAAGTGAATTAAATGTCAATCCCACAAATGGATGACGATGGTACCTTACAGCTATATGCTAATTAGGCTCTCTCTCTCTCTTTTATGTCAAAGGGAGCACTGCATTGTGATGAGGCTGACAGGAAGTCATCCAAGCGTAAAAGCTGCTGTGGCGTGTGCCCGGGTCGACATCATGCGGAGGGGTTGGTTTCTCAGGGGGAGGACACTGTGTGTGTGTGTGCGTGCGTGCGTGTGTCCGCTACACACATGCGCACACATACACACACACACACACACACACACACACACACACACACACCTCATCCAAATTCAAGAGGGAGAATGAGCGAGGGGGGCGGGAACCTCCCTCTGATTGGTGGCAGATGAAGCAACTGGGAGTCAGGAGGGAGTCAATGTGGCCTTAAAAAGGGCGCAGTTGTTGAGGAGCAGCAAGACCCGCTGAGATCCGAGTACCCCCACAACCCGTGCCAAACACCCCAAAAGTGCCTTGAGCTGGTCAAGATGCCGAGAGGCTTCCTGGTCAAGAGGAGCAAGAGGCTCAACCTGCTGTCATACCGCTCGCAGTGCAAGGATGAGGCGGAGGAGCGGAAACCTTCGGGGGCTTCATCGCAAGAGCGCACGCGCGCGTCCTCGCGCGCCCGCTGGACGGTGCCGCCGTCGGCCTTGGCGGCGGCACCGGAGTGCGAGTGCAGAGCCGCCCGCTTCGGCATCCCGGAGGGGGTGTACCGAGCCCTCTGTAGCCCAACCTGGCCGGCGAGCGGAGAGCAGGAAGCCGAGCGGCACCCGGCTTCGGGTTTGGCTTCACCGGTGTCGGCCGAGGTGTTCCCCGCCGCGCTCGCCGCCCTGGGGAACCTCTTCAACATGGGCTCCAGCACCTCCGCCAAGCGGACCGCTGACCCCGAGTTCAAAGTCAAACCCGCCACCAAAAGAGTCAAGAACATGCGGAAGCTGCACTTTGAGGACCACGTCACCACCTCGCCCGTTCTGGGGCTGAAGATCCGGGACATTCCGGCGGCCGAGCGCCGCTCTCCGGGCGGTACTGACGGCGAGCCGCGCGGCCAGTTTGTGTGTCAGCTGTGCGGGGAGGCGTACGCCGACCCGCTCGGCCTGGCCCAGCACCGCTGCTCCAGAATCGTCCGGGTGGAGTACCGCTGCCCCGAGTGTGACAAGGGATTCAGCTGCCCCGCCAACCTGGCGTCACACCGCCGCTGGCATAAGCCCAAGGCGGAGGCAAAGAGTCTCCCCGCGGCGGAGCCCGGCTCGTCCGAGTCCAGTTCGGAAGGGGAGGAGCCGCACGAGCGCGCTCAGGGCACCGAAAGGTTCAAGCGTCAATCCTGCCTGCGGAAGCGCGTGGCCATGCGGCACACTCCCATCGACCTGAGCGCAGCTGCCGGCGCGCAAGCGTGCCCGACTCGAGGAGAGGCGCACGCTGGCGCGCCTCACGCGCAGTCGGCGCAGGCTTCGCGCTGCAAACGTTACTCGCCCGGACTCGACCGCTGCCGTGCGTCCGAGGGCGCTGATGAGTTGCACGGCCGGCAAGTGGTCAGCGCGTCCGCCTCACGGTTCTGAGGTTCCGGGTTGCAATCTGGGTTCATTCCTGCATCATCTCAGCTTCACTCGAGAATCGACATCTGTGAATGTCAATACGTGTTTGTCTGTATGTGGCGTACGGCAACCCGGCAGTACCTTTTGTGTTTACATCGTTGACATTCCATTTTGGAATCCTGTTGCTTCCCTGTCGTCATCCCTCCACGTGTGCTACTGGCACAGTGACGCTTGCTTAACTTGATCACCAACTTTTGGCTCTTCAGATCGTACGGGAGCAAAACAAACCGACTCGCGTCGCCACTAATGCCTTTGGACAAAAAAACTGCTGTAAAAATGCCTTCATTTGAAGGTTCAACTCCAAGCCTTTACCACTATATTCTATTTTGCTCTTATTTATGTATTTATTCATGTGCGTGTATTTATTCAGATAAATTATTACTCTAAAATATCAAATGGAGCGAGAGAAGATTGTGCTTACTGTGACTTTCTAGCAATTAGCAATCAACTCAGCAATCGTGGCTTATGTGTGTTCTGTTTTGCTTTCTTTGCGCGCGCGTGCGTGCGTGTGTGTGTGTGTGTGTGATTGGTCATTGTTACTTTGTTTTGGATGTTTCTGGACTCTTTTGACAAATGTCCAAAAAGAATAAAAACCAAACAGACTACAAGTGTCGTCATGGAAACACAAACATGAGCCACAGTTAGCAGCAGTGAGACGCTTGTGACAAGACCAATGTTTCTTCAAGCAAGATGTCTTATTTGTTTGGGAAGTGCTGAAGTTGCCGATTCAAAGGAGAGTGCAAGTAATTAGCCCGCTGCAGCGCCAGGCGGGGTGGCGGAAAATATGATTACGGTGTGCGGATTGCGGTGTGGCGCAGGTGAGCGCAGATGATCAGGCTGCCCGCCATGTGCTCCGGATCAGAGCTCAGCTTAAGGAACGTTTAATCGCCTTCTCCATGTCGAGCGAATTAAAAGAGGAGCGGCTCCTCCTTTCTGGCCTCTTTTCATCGCCACGTCGGTCACTGTCTCAACTCTCTTCATCATTGATGACGATAGCTAACATTGGAAGCTGAGATGAGCAGGAATTTTGCAGGTCTATTCACGCTAATGTTGAAGCGAACATTAGAGGGAACATTGACAGCAGTTGCCAGGGCAACGCCCTTTCCCCAACTCAACTCCCACCCCCCCGCCCCCCAACCCCAATCCGTCTGAGGCATGTCTAATCAGCAGAAGTGACCTCTGCAAAGGAGGGTTGGGGGGGGGGGGGGCGGATTTTCCTATTCCAGGGGCCACCTGAGCCACTTGTCAACAGAGGGTCAGACAGTTGCCATAGCAACCAATGACAACTGATGAACGTTCACTCTGCTTCTGGAACCAACGTTGGCTCATTCCTCCCAGGCACCCTGCCGCCGCCCTTCCTTCACCAGAGTTTTTTGTGCCGAGGCATCGTTCACCATCTTTTGGGTCTTATTGCGCGCGCTCTGACTCCACCCGGAGACACGTACCCCATGGGTCCTAAAGCTTTCGGGATTACCTGTAACTTTATACAAACTGATAGATGTCGGGTAGTCCCCCCCCACCCCCCAAAAAAAAAAGAATTATTTAAACACTGCATTTTATGTTTATTTAGGTTAGGTTTATCTGACCTTCACATTTGTTTGATGATCTTAAACATTAAAGTGGGGAAACGATGACAAAAAACATTTTCGAAGCCCCTTTGGCCTTCTCATCCAATCACTCATTCATGGCATCATGGACAGCGTTAAAAGATTGAATGAACACATTCTGGAACTGCAGAGTCCCGACAGTATTTTTTCACTTCCGAATGCATCCCACAAACTGGACTGAATCCCCTCGAAGGCTGGCTTTGCCCTGGTCCCTCGTCTACCCAAAGTAGGGCACGTGGGGCTCCTTCTTGTCGCATGTGAAACGATCACCGAAACAGAGTACAAACTGTGCATCGTGTTGCAGGGGCTTTATTTTGGTAACATTTTGACGGAACTTTTTTGTCCAATACAGCGGCTGGTTTAGCACGTCCGCCTCACAACTAATTAAGATATCATCTTGTCTGGACGGAGGCAAATGTGGAAAAATGATGAAAGCGGAAGCTTCATGCTGAGCCAGGACATTGGAGTCAAATAAGAGTATTTTCCAGTGAATATAAATACGCAATAAAAAAATAGTTGATTCTTACAACTGTCACATACATTTTTGGACTAGAAAGGAACAAATCTATCAAACGAGTTGTCACAATCCTTCTGTCCAATCAAAACGGGTTTGCCTCTCAAGCTGCCATAATTCTGAGCGAGGTGAAGAAAAAAATGCCGCACTGGTTGTTGAAGCGCTGAAAAGGAAAAATTCATGGCAGCAACGCAGCGCTGTTCAAGAAACAAAAGTCGTATTTGTTCGAGGGCAAAGTCCAAATATTCATTGAAGAAGAATGAAGTCTTATTCTGAGGTAGCGCCAACATTGTCGCACCCCCGAAAAAAAAATCCAACTGCTCATATTGCGAATCAAGTTGACGTACTTCCCGGACCAAAGTGCGAAAACGCCTCCATTCCAAAACTCACCCGAGCAGGTCATTGATGTGTCCGAAGAGCGCCTTCGCACGGGCGATGCGAGTCGCCCCGCGAGCATCCGAATCCCGGGGCTCGACTTCAACCTTGCCGTCCCACGTCGGTGTACAAACGGAGGGGGAAAACGCCATCCGTCCCGGTTGGCCAGCGTGAAAGCAGGGCGGAGACTCAGCCGTCAAGCGCGGAAGTGGCCGTACCATTCGGCGACGTTTTTCCTCAGCTCGTCGACGCCTCGCCTCAGCTGGCCGACCTCGAGCGGCTTCAACAAGACGACTTCTTCTTGTTCGTCCCTGCGCTCGCTCTCCTCCGCAGACGCGTTCAAGGCTGCGCAGAAACATCCATTTTTTTTTTTTTTTTTTTTACAGGCTTGCGTCACACGTGCAGGGTGTCAGAATGTGAATGCGAGCCCATTGTGGTGCTGCCGCGATGAACGTGGCTGCGTGCTCCACGTACATGTCATGCCCAGCAGCAGAGACAAGTTGAGCTCCTTCCCTTGCGCTCGCTGCACCAGGATGCTGCGGAGAGCCTGGAGGTCCAGTAGACACAGGGACAACTCCTTCAGGAGTCGCCCCGCTTGTGGCGGCTCGCTGTTCGATCCGGCGCGCTCCCGCAGCCAGTCATCCACCTGTCGAGGCACACCCAACACATTGAGCGCAGCTCGAGTATTCGAGCCGGCGGGGGGGCGGGGGCATAACGGGGGGTTGTTCAATGGATACCTGTGACAAGGTTGTGGAGTCACTGGATCGAAGCTCTTGGTTGTCAGGAGGACTCAAGTGTTGCGCAAGGTTTCTTCCTTTCTGTCGTCTTGTGCTGGTCACCTATTGACATGCAGTAGGCAGTGAGTATTTGTAGGAGGCCCATCATCTCTCCGATAAAAGATGAGTCCAGGAGCCTACCTTCAGTTGCGAGTTGAGCCTCTCAATCTGTTCTTTCTGATGCTCAATGAGCTGTAAGAATTGGGGGGGGGGGGGGGGGGGGGGGGGGGGGAGGCATCAGCGACTGCTCAATGACCGCCTTCACGACAGGTACCTGAAGCACTGGAGGCGCCGCGCTGCAAAGCGTGCGCACGTACCTTGCCGCTCCGGTCTTGTCTCTCCAGGAGTTGAGAGTTTTCCACCTGGAGATGCTTCAGGTCCAGCCTCACTCCATCCTCCAAACACCTCTGCACCTTCTGCTGCAACCTTGACACAATAACATGGGAGCGAGCCATTTTAGTGTCCGATGTAGAATTAGGTATCATGCCTTTGTCGCATCTCGGCCGGATGACTGCACATACAAAGCTATTTTACTTGTAGCAAAGCCGCTTTCACAAAAACGAACATCTGAGACGACATTCCTGTTCCTAAATCTAAAAGGTGGAGAAAAGCTTTTCGGTGCTCATCCAAAAAATTACTAAGCATGATAAGACATCCGAAACTAAGGTAGTAGAAAAGAGATTCTAACTCGATAAAGCAGAATCTGACCTGTGTACAGTTGCAATGAGTTCGTCCTCTCTCCTGGCTTGTGTCTCAATCGTGCCGTCTTTCTCCTTCAGCAGAGCACAGCTGTCGTCCAGTTTTTTTTGTAAGCGTGACACTGTTCTCTCCAGATCCCGAGCTCTCAGCTGCACCGTTTCCAGCTGAGCGCGCACCCATCCAAAAAAAACCCAAACAAAACAAAACACGATGCGCAAATAGCGAATGAACTGTGCAAAATTTGTGTCGCAGTGAAACAAGTCTCGGTGCGCACTCTAATAAAAATTATGAGCAAGAAACTGTTTGACAAAAAGTGTTTTTTGTGTTTTTTTTTTTTTAAACAGATTTAAAAACAATTGAATTGATGTCATTCTCCAGGTTCAAGTTGCTTGTGTGTACGTACCTGCAGGGCCTGAACTTGAACCTCGCCCAGAGTTGGCAGGTCAGCGAGGTACTTCTCCAGAGTCTCGATGCGTTGCTGCTTTTCATGGTTCTGATCGCTCTCCCGCTGGTATTTCTTTTTCAGGCTGCTGATGTAGCGATCCCTTGTCTTGATCTGGTGGCCGAAATATAATGGGTTGATTTAAAAAACATGGGAAGGCATCGTAGCAGGGCGCAAGTTGCAAAAGAATCGAAGACAAAAGAAAAGGCTTTGTTGAAAAGAGGCAATGGAAGTTTCCTTTCCTGCTGTTCTGAATGTGTGCTGCCCGCTACCTTTTCCTCCAGTTTCCGGAGGTCTTCGGTGTATTTGTGAGTCGCTTGCTTGTAAAGCTCATTGAGATGAAGAACTTCCAGTTCGGACACTGCCAGCTTCCTGCTGAGGTCTTCATCGCAACGCAGTCGATCGGATGGTCCTTCCTTCACGGACTTCTGTTGGGCAAAAAAAAAAAAAAAAGTGTGACCACAAAGAGCGTCTCCAGATTCCACCCGCACAGTATTTCCGGCGACTTGGGAAGAATCACCTTCATTGTCAGGATTTGAGGGTCTTCAAACCACCTCTGGCTGTGCAGCACCTGCTGGGCTCTCAGCTCGTTTTCTCGAATGCGGGCGTGGAGCTGCAGGATCTGTTGCTTCTGTCTACAACAAAACAACAAGGGAAAGCTTGACATCGCGACAGCATTACGAAGAACATGTTGAAGGCTAAGCAGTAGAGAGTGTGGAACGTGGGCACCACTTACCGATCGATCTCCAGTTCTTTTTGTCTCAGCATTCCTTCTTTCACCTTCACCAGAGTGTTGACAAAATGGGACGTCCCCTGCAGCATCTGCAAATGCACAAGCAAGTCTTGTTTTCCCCAAGGAAAAAATGCCACAGACATTTGCGTTGCCCCCTTGAGGCGGTGGGGAAATATCATTGCAAATTTGGTGCGTGTGTGTGTGTGTGTGTGTGTGTGTGTGTGTGTGTGTGTGTGTGTGGGGGCGGGATTTATTGATGGAGCTCGGATTGATTGCTTTTACCTGGTTGATGCCTTGTTCAAGTGACGCTCCCTCTCCGCCACAGACCTTTGCTTCGCCACCCCCGCCCTGGCCAAGTTCTCCTGCGTGCTCTGCTTTCGAGCTGTACTCCATCTGCTCCGTCAGCCACATTTGCGTGCGGACGGCCGGCTGAATTGGGGAGTCCCGGTCAACCGGGTGGCCAAGCGGCGAGTCCGCTAGCTTGGACAAACTGAGGCCGTAAACTTGACCACCTCCCAACGGCAGTTTAGCTTCGGTTAAGCTACTACAGCTCGTGCCCAAGCCGCTGTGTTTAATGGGTGAGGAGAGGGTTGAGGACAGCGAGAGGTCCGTTTCCAAACCGGATTTACTGCTAGGTTTGCTCCAGTAGCAAGGACCAGCACCGGGAGAGCGTTGTAATAAGCTATGAGAGAGCAAGGAGGAAGATAGCGGTAAATACAGGTCCCGATTTAAAGCGCGGGGTTCTTTCCTGAAGCCCGAGAGCAGACCCCTGTCCAGGGAGCCGTGTGAACCTGGACTGTGATGCTGGACCGATGCCTTCCTGGAGTTCTTTTCAACACCGGAAGACAACTTGGTGAGGGAGGACCACCTTCGGATGGGCTGCTTGTCCTGCATGTCGACGCCGGTTTGTGCAGCAAGGGGAGACGTGGTTGGAGGGCTCAGCGGGCAAGAGTTGGCCCAACGACCCGTGCAGGTGGGTGAGCTTGTGGTTCTCAGACTGCCGCAGGATGATGTCGATGCGGATGGCTTGACGTGGACAACCGGGACACCGCTGCCAAAGCCATCTTCCTGACTGGAGTGACGACGGGACAGCAGTCGGAGAGATGAAGGCGTGGTGCTTGAACAGGAGTCATCTGAAGGATCGACAGAGGAGGAGACAATAAATAACACACATGAGGACACATGGCACACGATACGACTCATCAAGCATGTCATTCGACATTCGGACTGCATGATTTTGAAAACACAATCGCCTCGGGGGGGTTTTTTGGGGAAGGTCTTTCCCAACTACAACATGACTTTGCCATAGAAACATTTCACCGTACCTTCCACGCTATCAGAGCAGTAGGTACCAATGCCGGTGTCACCGCTGTCTGACACGGCGCTGTGTCGACGTCCAAAGATGCTGTTTCCAGGTCCAGGCTGTTTGCTGTGCCACGATGATTCATGGCTTGGGACCCAGCCAGGAGAGCCGCCGCGACTTGAACCTTAAAAAAACATTGTACAGTAGACAGGGGTCCCTATTCGTTAGTGTGAACCTTGATGAAGGAAAACAAGTATTTTCTTGAATGTTTTTGTCCTCCTTAAGAGTGGTGTGAGGCCATTTAAAGATTTGAAAACAAATAAAAGGTTCTTACAAAGAACTCTAAAAGAATGTTTTTGTCCTCCTTAAGAGTGGTGTGAGGCCTACAAAGAACTCTAAATTGTACAGGGAGCCAGTGAAGGAAAGCCAGAGTAGGAGTTACATGCCAGGCAAGAGGCGAGCAGCAGCATTCTGGACCAACTGGAGATGCTTCATGGAGGATTGGCTGACTCCAAAGTCAAGTGCATTACAGTAAAGCAGCTGGGATGTGACGAAGGGATGAATGACTGTTTCAAAGTGCTCGCCAGAGAAAGGAGAGGCTTGAGTGTGTCCATACTTGCGCAAGTACAATACACTCTGTTGATTTTACTTGGCCTAACGAGTTGTTCAGGTTATGTACACTTTTATATCCACGATAGATAGATCGATAGAAGCTTCTCTCCGCCACGCGACGCTTTCGTGCGGTATTGCCGCGAACGCGGTGACGTAAATTCTAGTCGCCGCAGTTCGGCCTTTTAAATCAACGAACGTCATTAATCTGCCACCACACACGCATCGACAAGCAAGTCACAATATTATGACACATTCATTTACAGAACGAGAACAACAAAATCTCACCTGTTTTATTCGAATCGTATCCATCGTCAAGATCACCTCTGTTCCACATTGGCAGTGGGAAGATGTTTTACGTAACAGCCGGAAAACAGCTTTGCGGTCGGAAAGGGAAAAAAAAACCTCAGTGGAATAAGGAGGGCAGTGAGGGATTTAGACGCGATTATTATCCAATTTGTGACATTTGAGCACGATAGAACAGCTGCAGGGCCCTAACTGAATATCTTTTGTCTCGAGACATTTTCAAGTAACGGTCTCCTTTCTCGAACTTCCACGTGATGACTTCCGGAGTGGAAGTGACGTCACTAACTCCCTCCTCGACGCCTTAAAAAACAGCTTGAAAAAAACAGACTAAAGACGCGCACAGACACACACACACACAATATATATATACATCAGCAATGGTTTTCAGTGCCCCCCAACATATTTTTGACAATGATTGAAAAAGGGTCTTCTCTTGCGAATAGAAAAACACAACAAGTCATTTATATTGTAGTTTAGTTTATTTGCAGTTCATTTGCATATGTAGAGTAGAGAAGATCAAACAACTGCAGAGCTAGATCTACTCTGTGAGATCGAGGGCTGTCGGCCACCCGAGACATTTCAAACAATTTATGACATTGTTTTTTTGACCGACTTTAGCGCGTTATAAAAAGTGGACGAATTTTCAAGTGGGCCTTTCGTCCTTGCATTTTTCTGTCGGCAGCCCTCAAACGAAAAGATTCGGACAACCCCTGGTCTATTTGATCCCTTAGCTGATATAACGAGTGAACACTGTGTGTCACTGCCAGAAGAGAAGGAACGTATTTCTGGAAGTTCGCAAGTGAAACCGTGTGCCCGGCATTCTTGTCCCAGTGGCCCATTCACTCGGAAAGAAATGAGCCGGCGCCCCTCCTTTTGCGATGCCTCAACTTTAAGATCATCAGATGGAACATTTCAGTGATGTTGAGCATGACAGAGAAGACCGCCATGGCCAACATAAAGACGATGAAGACGTTTTTCTCAGTGGGACGGCTGATGAAGCAGTTGGTGTCGGTTATACAGCTTCCGCCTCGGAACGTAATCTTTTCCGGCATGAGAATGGAGCCGTAGATGAAGTACTGGCCCACGACGAAGGCCACTTCCAGCAAGATCTTGAACAGAAGCTGCATCAGGTAGCTGAGCAACAGGAAGCCTTTGAGCTTCACCTTGCCGTGTTCATCGGAATATTTGGGCGACTTGAGCGTCTTGATCAGGTCCCGTTTTTGCTCCAGGTGTCGCCGAAGCTTATTCTCTCTGCGGATGACAAGCAGGACGTGACCCAGATAGATGAACGTGGGCGTCGAGACCGTGAGGATCTGGAGCACCCAGAAGCGCGTGTGAGATATGGGGAAGGACGCATCGTAGCAAGCATTCTTGCAGCCGGGGCTTTTGGTGTTGCAGTCCATGTTTGCTTGTTCGTCTCCCCATATTCTATCCACGCCGGCCGCCAGGATGAAGATCCTGAAGACGAAAAGAACGCTCATCCAGACCTTGCCAAATATCGTCGAGTGCGATTCCACCTTGTCCAACATCTCCGACAGGAAGGACCACTCCCCCATGATGGCAGCGGATCTCCGGCGGGTC